GGGGGGGGGGGTTCACAGCAGGTAAGAGGCTCACAGACTTCCCCGCCCAGGCTGGCTTTGAACCACCATCCTCAGACCTCAGGCTCCTGAGTAGCTAGGATGACAGGCCTGAGCTGATTGGTTGCTAAGTGTGTGAAGGCTCTGGGGCTCCTCCCCTCCCCTGCGCCTATTGGCTGGTTTGTCCCAGGACCCTGGCCTGGCCACCCACTGCCTCGTTCCTCATTGGCTGGAGCCTCTTAAAAAGCTCCACCTCTGCTGTTCCTGGCGCTGTCCCTTGGGCTATTTTTCCTCAACTCCAAGGCTCTACCACTTGGAGCCACAGCTGCCACTTCTGGTTTTCTAGTGGTTAAATTGGAGATGAGTCTCCCAAGCCTTTTCCTGCGCCCAGGCTGGCTTCAAACTGGGGTCCTCAGATCTCAGCCTCCTGAGTAGCTAGGATGATGGCAGGCGCGAGCCACCAGCTCCCCACTCCGTGCTGTTCCTTTTAAGGGAGTTCCTTGGCCTCTCTGTTTTTCCATTCCATTGGATCGGAGCAGAAATAAGAACACTTGTTTTTGTGTTCGTTTTCTTTTCTTTGTTCCTCACAGTCAATTCACCCATCTTTGCTCGGAGATGAGAAAGAGAAGAAGCAGGGAGGGGGGAGGGAAACTCCCAGGGGGTTATGGATTCAAGTAATAAATCATTTTGCAGGGTGCAACCCCTTCCAAGGCCAAGCCCCACTAGGCCCCTCACCCTGAGATGGTCTCCAGCCAAATGATTCTCTTGCTGGAAGTGTCACCGTGTTCTGACCTGGTGTTCACCCCATCTAGAACCTTCCATGGCTCGATTCTCCCTGAATTCAGGAAATATGATCTTCTTTTCACTTTGTAGCTGAATTTTCTTTTATTTTTTTGGTGCCAGTACTGGGACTTGAACTCAGGACTCCCCTTGGCTTTTCTCACGGCTGGCTGGCGCTCTACCACCTTGAGCCATGCCCCCAACTCCTGGCGTTTTGTTTTTGGCTGGTTGATTGGACTTGCCTGCTTGGGGCTGGCTTCCAACCGTGATCCTCAGCCCTCAGCTTCCTGAATCGTTAGGATTACAGGCGTCAGCACCAGTGCCCGGCTGGTAGCTGAATCTTCTAAGAAGCTACCAGCCTCTCAGTGTTTGCCAAGGCAAAGGCCCGTGGCTCCCCACAAGGCTTTGGCCTCAGGCTGACCATTCCATTGCTGTCGCTGACTGAGGGCCCTTGGGGAGAGTGGACCCAGATATAGTCCTGGGGACAAGCCGAAGCCTGGGGTGGGAAAAGTCCTCCATCTCCTGCTGCAGCCCTGGGTAAGGTTCAAGCAACAGCTTGGTTCTGGGGAAGCAGGCGGGGCAGACAAAGGAACCAGTGTCTTATTTGCACCTAACTAAGTGCCTTACCATCCGAGCATGCGTCAAACCCCAAGGCAGGTCCTACAAGGCCTCAGGACCCCATCTAAGACCCTCTGCCTCTAAGCCTCTGTCCTGTGGTGCCTAGAAAACACTGCCAATAGTAACCCGAGGATGCCACACGATGGTGTGCCTGCAGGACCGGTTTCTAGACACTGGGGGCCTGTACCTGTGTGGAAGGTTCTCCACGCCCCGTGGAGGGACCAAGTGACCTTTCCACGCTGGGTTAGGGGGTAGCTGCAGCCCCATGTTTTCTGTTAGCCCTCCCGAGGGGCTGGGGGGCCTCATCCTACCTTTCTGAGCTCTGTGGCCACCACCCCAAGGGCAGAATCGGGGAGACCAGAAGACACCCCGTTTGTTGTTTTGTTTCAGTCCACCCAGAGCACCCTGGAAAACAGGCTTTAAGGCCCAGGGAGCTCTTTTGTGTGCTGCTGGTACTGGGACTTGAACTCAGGGCCTCGGGCACTGTCTTTGCTCAAAACTCAGCTCTCTACCCCTTGAGCCATACCTCCACTTCGGGCTTGTGGTTGGCCAATTGGAAATAAGAGTCCCACGGACGTCGCTGTCCAGGCTGACCTCAGGCCATGATCCTTCCGTCTCAGCCTCCTGAGTAGCTAGGATTACAGGTGTGCACTACCAGCACCTCGCAGCTCATTCTCGAGTGAGATTCTTGGGATTGAGCTCCACGGCCCGCATAACTGGTAACGATCTATCGGGCAGCCCCTCCCCAGTATGGGTCTGTGCTCTGGGTTCAAATCCAGGACCTCCATCAAAGCCCACAAAGGCCTCACATTGGAGGAGACAGCGGGGCTAGAAACCCTGCTTGCTCCACCTCGGGGCAGGTCCTAGGCTAGCTCATGGTAGGTGCCCCCCCCGCCCCCAGCTCAGGACACACGTGGTAACTAGAGAGGGGAACGGAGCTTAAGCATGGGATCGACTGGACTTTCTTTTGTTGTTGTTGGGGGTGGTGGGGCCTGGGCACTATCCCTGAGTTCTTTTTCGTGCAAGGCAGGCGCTCTACCACTTTAAACCACAGCACCACTCCAGGTTTGCTGGTGGTTCACTGGAGAGCAGAGTCTCACGGACTTTTTCCTGCCCCTGGCCGGCTTTGAACCCCGATCCTCAGATCTCAGCCCCCTGAGTAGCTAGGGTGACAGGTGTGAGCTACCTAGCACCCGGCTTCTCCTGGGCTTTCCTGGCCAGCCTGTTAGCTTGGATCTCTGGAGGTCCAAACGGATTCTTTCCTGGCCTAGAATCTTCCAAGTGCTTTGAACACACTCTACATTAGCAACTCAACCAACCTGTGGGTTCTGAATGTGGGCAAAATGGCTCCGCCCACCCCTGCCCACTCCGTGGGGGGGGCCAGGGTAACACATGGCCACCTGCTCCAGGGGAAAATGGGGCGGAGCTAAGACTCAGCAAATGAGAGGCAAAAAAAGGGATTGAGAGGGGCTGGGCGTGTGGCTCAGAGGTAGAGCACTCGCCTAGCATGCCTGAGGCCCTGGGTTCGATTCCTCAGCACCACAGACACAGAAAAAGCCAGAAGTGGTGCTGTGGTTCAAGTGGTAGAGCGCTAGCCTTGAGCAAAAGAAGCTCAGGGACAGCGCCCAGGCCCTGAGTTCAAGCCCCAGGACTATAAGGAAAAAAACAAAGACAGAGAGGTGATGAGACCCCCACCGCTGCCCCCCCTCCCTCGCCCCCCTCCGGAGTAAACCGGCTCAGGAACACGCAGACTCCTGCCCTCCTTAGCCCCCCACCTCCCCCCAAGTTCCTACAACCATCTGTCTGTGCCTTAATGAAAGCATCTTCGCTTTCTATCCTTTTTACACAAAAGCAAACGCTCCAAGTGGACCACGGGGGAGGGGAAGCCAGCTGACATGGAAGGTTCTAGAAAAACCTGAGGTGAAATCACTGACTCTTGCAAAAAAAAGAGAGAAAAAACCTTGCGGTTGGGGAGATGGTGGAGGGTGGGTTCCCCACCCTGACTCCCGGGGACCTGCGTACCGACCTTTATAAACCCTGCTGTGACCTCTGACCTCACCAAACCAGTCTAATCTTTGGGGGCACCTGTAATAAGATTCAATAAAAACAAGTTTTAAACCTGGGGGGAGAAAATGGGTTGGGGAGGGGTGGCCTGGCCTGTGTGTGTTGTGCTTTTTTGTGTGTTGTGTGTTCTGATTATTTTTGTTGTTGTTGTTCTGTTTTTAATCTGTTTTCTATGAACATCATTTTCTTGTTTGGAAAACAAATACAACTTTGACATGTTTAAAAAAGAAAAAAAATCTGTTCCGATCTCAGTTTTTACTGGGGCTTCTTCTTCATTTCATTTAAGTGAGCTATCCATTTCGCTTGTACTGGGGCTTCGAACTCAGGGCCTGCACACTTACTCTTCCGCTCAGGGCTGGTACTCAGCTGCTTGAGTCACGCCTCCCCTTCCAGCTTTTCAGTGGTGGTTCATTGGAAATAAGAGCCTTGTGGATTTTTTTTATCCCCTGCCTGGGCCTGTCTTTGAAATGTGATCCTCAGATCTCCACCTCCTGAAGAGCTAGGATGACAGGTGTGAGCTACTAGCTCACGGCTCAGAACCTAATTTTTAAAATCCTCCTGACATCATCCAATTTGGGGGAAAAAGTGAGGAAACCAAATGGTGGCCTTAAATAAGTGTCTACAGAGCTTTGAAAATAGCTGGCCCTCTAAATATACATACATACATACATACATGGGGCTGGGAAGGTGGCCCAGTGGTAGAGCGCTTGCCTTGCATGCATGAGGCCCCGGGTTCGATTCCTCAGCACCACATAAGCAAAAAGAAAAAAGCCGGAAGTGGCGCTGTGGCTCAAGTGGTAGAGCGCTAGTCTTGAGCTGAAGAGCTGAGGGACAGCGCCCAGGCCCAGAGTTCAGGCCCCACGACTGGACCCAAAAAAAAAAAATACATACATAGATGAAAATGCTAACTCATATGAGGGGGAATTGGGGGTGGGAGTGGGGTCCTAGGACCTGAACTCAGAACCTGGATGCTGTCCCTGCTTTTCTGCTCAAGGCAACCACTCTACCACTTGAACCACAGCCACAATCCCAGCTTTTCTGGTAGTTAATTGGAGATAAGAGTCTCATGAAGCCGGGCGCTGGTGGCTCACGCCTGTCATCCTAGCTACTCAGGAGGCTGAGATCTGAGGATCGCAGTTCAAAGCCAGCCTGGGCAGGAAAGTCCATGAGACTCTCATCTCCAATGAACCACTCAGAAAACCAGAAGTGGCGCTGTGGCTTAAGTGGTAGAGCGCTCACCTTGAGCAAAAGAAGCTCATGGACAGTGGCTAGGCCCAGAGTTCAAGCCCCAGGACTGACAAAAAAAAAAAATTCTCATGGACTTTCCTGCCTGGGCTGACTTTGAACCTTGATCCTCAGATCTCAGCCTCCTGAGTAGCTAGGCTGACAGTCGTGAGCCCAACAAACCACAGGTTAGCTCTGTGAGTTCATTGCAGCAGAACTTGCACTGGTCAAAGAAAAGCAACAACAGCTAAGCTCACCCACCCAAACTCTCGTGGTCACGAGTGAGAGCAAACCTGAAGATTACACCCCTCATTCAACCCTCGCTCTGCCCCATTTGCTTGGTTGGACCCCATTCCTTGGCAGAGTCTCAGGACTGGGCTTGTAGATGCAGCCTGTATCCCACATTAGAACATCCTTGCCCCGACCAACTTGGACCAGGTATCCCGTCCTGCATCAAACCCTAGTGCAGGAAAATACAGCTCTGATTGGTCAGACTCAGGACGTGAGGCAGCCAATAGCCACCTCTCTCTGAGCTCACAGGCTCTAAGTGGGCTGTCCTTTCTCCTAGGAAATAGGAAGATAAAAACAACAGAGGGGTGTGTGTGTGTGTGTGTGTGTGTGTGTGTGTGTGTGTGTGTGTGTGTGTGTGTGTGTGTGTGTGTGTGTGTACATTAGGGCTCCCATTCTGGATCTTCTGCTCTCTTCACTCAAGGCTGGTGCTCTACTACTTGAGCCACACCTCCACTTCCAGCTTTTTCTTTGCTGGCTACTTGGAGATTAATTAATTGGAGAGTCTCACAAGCTGGGTACTGGTGGCTCACACCTATCATCCTAGCTACTCAGGAATCTGAGATCTGAGGATCACAGTTCGAAGCCAGCCCAGACAGGAAAGTCCATAAGACTCTTATCTCCAAAAAACCACCAGAAAACCGGAAGTGGCGCTGTGGTTCAAATGGTAGAGCACTCACCTTGAGCTGAAGAGCTGAGGGACAGCGCCCAGGCCCAGAGTTCAAGCCCCACGACCAACAACAACAACAAAAAAAAGGGACCAACCATAAGTGGTAAAGAACAGCCAGGAAGCCAGCAGAGAGATCTTGGGTGTGGTATGAGCAGTGGCTTGTGGGTAATGTTCTTGTGGGTTTTGTTTTTAACATTGTCTACAACGAGTCTGGATGAACGGTCATTTCAACTTGGGAGGGGTAGGAGAAAAAAATAAAAGGAATTCTCTCTCTGCCCTGCAGAAAATGAACGCCAACAGCTGGCCCTGGCTGGAATTCTGTCAGGAATTCCCAGGCGGATTGTCTGTGGGTTTGAGGTCCAAATTTAGGCATGTTGGAGATAAGAGTTCTAAGTGGCCTAATAGAGGCCAGGCCAGGCTGACCGATGGGCTTGGGCCTCTTCCAGGCCAGGATTTTTAAGGCCCAGATTCCTGGGTAGAGCTTCAACTCTTAGCTCCGGAATGGGAGAGGAGGAGGAGGAGGAAGAAGAAGAAGAAGAGGAGGAGGAGGAAGAGGAGGAGGAGGAGGAAGAGGAGGAGGAGGAAGAAGAAGAGGAGGAAGAGGAGGAGGAGGAGGAGGAAGAGGCCTGCTCTTCCTCGCCTCCCAGACTT